TACAACATATTTAACCCAAACATAAATGATATAATGAATATATAATTTTTAAAAAGTGGTATTTTTGTAAAAATTGAAAAAATGTGGCATTTTTGTAAAATAACACTTGAAAAGTGGTATTTTTTGAAATTTCCCTAAACAAACCAACACAACCCATAATGTTCAATGTGCATAATTAATTAAAGTTTAGCTTTTAAAAATTTTATTTACTGAAATTATTAACTTAGTGAGGTTAAAATGGGCCATTTATTAGGCCCAAAACACAAAAATTTCAAAAAGTCGTTTGTAAATTATAATAAAAAAAAAATCCAAAGTAGTGAACCGAAACCAAAACACAAACCGTCTACATACCAAGACGCAAACCCGATTTTATATTTATTGGATTGTGGTTTAACGTCAAGCTTTACAAATATCGCCGGCGAGATTCGGATTGAGAAAAAAAAAAAAAGGGAAAGAGATTGAATTTAGGGTTTATACTCAGGAGAAAGAAGAAGAGAAGATTTCGAAGCTAAGGAGTGTAAAAGACAGAGAAGATGTCGTCGACTCTCCTCGAGCAAACTCGCTCCAATCACGAAGAGATTGAGAGATTGGAACGATTGATTGTGCAAGATCTACAGACCGAGCCACCTTCGAGCAAGGACAGATTGGTTCAGGGTCACCGTGTCCGTCACATGATTCAGTCTATCATGCGTAGCACCGAGAAACTTGTAAGGTTTTCTTTTTCTCCTTAGTTCATTTGCTTGAGTATTTATGGATTAGCAAAGACGCACTTGTGTTCTGTTTTCTCTTCTGAAAATTTTTCGGCTATTGAGTGGAAATTTAGGTTTAGATTTTGAATCTCTGTTTTTTCTTTTTTTCTCAACAGGTTTTGAACCTCTCTGAAGTGTTAAAATGGAGATTAAACTTCTGAGGTTGGTGTCGAATCTAGGTTATATCATTGGTGTCTTAAGTGTGTATTTAGGGATTCTTAGTTTTGAGCTAAGCATGCTTCATTAGAAAAACGGATATGATTATTTCACAAGTCTGAGCAAAATGTGTTGATAATTGCCACTTTAGTCTTGACTCTAAATGACTTGTAGTTCTCCCAATTAGATGTTTTGGATTAAATACTAACCTTGATTCTTGTTCGTTGTAAGGTTGAAACTTATGAAGATAAAGATGGTGCGAGGGAAGATGAGATAGCGGCGCTTGGTGGCCAGACTGCAACCGGGACAAATCTGTATAGTGCATTTTATGATCGGTTGAAGGAGGTTTGTTTTCTACCCTTTTGTATATTCCTTTGTGCCAAGCATCTGGTTTTACTTTAATTCTCTGGGTAGTTTTTATAAAGATAGAATTAGCTAAATGTTGATGTTTGTTTTGTAACTTCATTTGTTGTCTTAAACCAATACTGATGGAGAACTAAGAATCCTGTACAAAAACTCAGTGAAAGTGTGCTAGTTCTGTTCCATTAACAATTTTGGTTAGCTGTATAAGCTTTGATTTGGAGAATTTTATCAACCGGTGAAATTTTCACGGGGTATATGGGGATTTATATCTAAGTATAGTGCAGTTCCATAATAAAATTTAAATGGATAGTTTTGATGTTTGTGATTGTCTTCATGCATGAAATGTTGATCAACTGAAAATTCTTAGTCTTCTACCGCCGATGAAATGATCAGATATGCAACTAACTAATCTATTTTATAAACCTCTAGATACGGGAATATCATAGAAAGTATCCTTCTGGACATCTTGTTGATTCTGCTGAGGACTATGAAGCACTCCTGAAGGAGGAGCCAGTTATTGCATTCAGTGGAGAGGTAATTTTGTTTCAATTTTATAGATGCCATACAAAGATTTTCATATTTGAGAACATTTCCTGTACACAATTTAATAGAGTATTATAAGCCTATTTGTCAGCATTACTGGCTTCATGGTAGTAGATAGAGTTTCTCCAAATGCTAAATCTTCTTGTGTGTCGTGCAGGAAGGCCTTGGTCGGTACCTAGACTTGCATGATATGTATAACCAATACATCAACTCTAAATTCGGGGACAGGGTTGAATATTCTGCTTACCTTGATGTTTTTTCTCAACCACAGAAAATACCGCGTAAACTAAAGTTTTCGATGTAAGCATTTCATTGATTTTTCTTCTACTATGAAAGCCTCCATCTTTGTTTCTACCTGCAGCTGAATGCCTTTCATATTTGTCTTGCTATCTACCTTTTAGGCAATACAGGAAGTATATGGAAGCTCTGTTAGGGTACTTAATCGACTTTTACCAGCGAACTGAGCCGTTGCAAGATCTTGACAGAATACTTTCCAAGGTTTAAGCTCCTCTTTTTCTTTATCGTTTTATTGTGTTGAACTTGTTCCCTTATGGAAACTTATGCGAGCTTTGAAGTAATACTATTTACATAACGTGTGTGTTATATGTTATACATGTTTAAGAGTTCTCTTTTAGTTTCCTAAGTACTTCTGCTTAGATGTTGGACTTTTCCATCAGCCTAAATGATTATATATTTTTTGGAATGTATATGGCGATAACTAGATGATGCTTGTGTTGGTAATTCGTAAGTGCATGTTTGCGCCAACTGTAGAGATTTTTTATCTTCGTTAGGTTTTGAACCATACTATAGTTTGGCATTTTGGTAGTTCTAGTTTCTTCAATGCTGTGTATATAGTTTGATCTGATGCAATTAATATGTTGGTTTCTTGCAGGTTGAGACCGAGTTTGAAGAGCAATATGCAGATGGAAAAGTAGAAGGCTGGGAGAATCATGGTCAGGAAAATGAAGTTATTTCATCTCAGCATACTGTCATAGATCTTGACTACTACACCACAGTCGAGGAACTGATAGATGTGGGACCTGAAAAGCTGAAAGAGGTAATGACCATACTTCATGCTCATATATTCCCTGAAGCATATTTTCCCTAATTATGTCTTCTATGTCATTCAGGCGCTGGGGGCGTTAGGACTGAAAGTTGGTGGTACTCTGCAGCAGCGGGCCGAGAGACTTTTCCTGACAAAGGTTCGTACACTTGTTTCTACTTCGTATTACTAGTGCTGTTGTTTTTGCTGGGTTTGGTAGGAACAGTTAGTGCTATGATAGTTTGTTTGGTAGTTCAATTCAGTTCTTCATTTGATATGAAAGTAAGAGGGTTGTGTTAGCATATTTCATATCAGAAGTGATAAAATTCTGTTTGAAGCTTGTGTTATTTACCTTGAGGTTATCTTATGCCTCAATTTCTGTGCAGCATACACCTTTGGAAATGCTGGATAAGAAACATTTTGCTAAAGCTCCACACAATGTGAAACAAAATGGAGATGCCAAAGCAACGCAGGAGTCCAACAGTGCTAAAGAGATTGCACTAACAGAGGCCAAAGTTAAGAAACTCTGCAGCTTACTTGATGAGGTTAGTTGATTGAAGTGCCTATTTATACATTTTTTTTTGTTTTCTCCCAGTATAACTAGTTTTGCTTTTTAACTCTCTTGTTGTCGCCTTTTAATAGACAATCGAAAGGACAAAACAAAACGTCGTGAAGAAACAGGCCTTGACGTATGAAGAGATGGAGGAAGAACGCGAGGGTGAGGAAGCTCGTGCAGAATCAGAAAGTGATGACGAGGATGGTCAGATATACAATCCGCTGAAACTGCCAATGGGTTGGGATGGGAAGCCTATACCATACTGGCTCTACAAACTTCATGGCCTTAGCCAGGTATGTAGTTTAGTTCTTTGACCATCGATGTGAAAAGGAAACAGAGGCAAACTTAAAAATTGACAATCAAATTTTGTTATTGATCTCTTGCAGGAGTTCAAATGCGAGATATGTGGGAACCATAGCTACTGGGGAAGAAGGGCTTTTGAGAGACACTTTAAAGAATGGCAACACCAACATGGAATGCGTTGCTTAGGAATCCCAAACACAAAGAACTTCAACGAAATCACTTCGATTGAGGTATATATATTATCATCAAAGACTTTGTTGTGTATAGCTTAAAGCAGTAGTTTGGGTCATTTGATTGATCTCTGTGATTGTTTGGTTTGGTTTTACAGGAAGCGAAAGAGTTGTGGAAGAGGATACAAGAGAGGCAAGGAGTGAACAAATGGAGACCAGAACTTGAAGAAGAATATGAAGATCGTGAAGGCAACATTTACAACAAGAAGACTTACTCTGATCTTCAACGTCAAGGTCTCATATGATTGATGACATTCTCATGGTTACTTAGAGGCTCCTACTTAATGAAAAATCTTCTCTCTACTGACTATATCACTTTAAATCAAATCTGTTTTTCTGCTTTGTACAATCAAATTATTCGTCATCTTTTTGTGAAATATCGTCGTCATTTATTTTCCTACTTGAAACAGAATTTTGTTTGTTTTGTGACAAAAAAAAAAAGAAACAGAATTTTGTTTTAGATAAGCTCGACTTTGGTGCATGTTTTTTTTTTAATCAAGTATTATACAATCCATGATATGAAAACGTTTTTGTATGGATAGTAATGACGAAATGAATGGACCATTTCGATGACGAAAAAAAAGAGATATATATAAAAAATGGTTCTATTGGTTCTTTTTTGTTGACAACTACATGGTATTTTACATTTTACATTTAAAATGTTAGAATGATTTTAATTTACATCATACGATGCATAATTTTTTTTTTCTTTAAATAAGCTATAACAAAACTCCCCTTTGAATTTTATTAGTGTATGCAAGCATATAGTTGTATCATCATTATACAATATCTCGTTTTTTTAAAAAACTTGAACATACATTCTCATTTTAGAAATAAAAAAATGAAATAATATACCTTTCTTGGCCAATTGGCTACGATCAAGCGTAGTTTTAATTACAATTTTTTTTAATTCAAAATTAAAAATAAAATGAAATGTTCCCGGCTTTACCTTTTTTATTCACAGTCCAACGGCAATTTTTTGGAGTTAGTAAATAATAATTCTCCGGTGCCAGCGCATTCACAACTTCGTAGACTTATCTATTCACCGTTAGATCTAAAACCTAATCATCTAACGGCTACAAATAAAACCCCCAAAAATATGACCGTTGTAATTGAACCGTTGGCTCTTTTCCATAAGAATACGCTCTCTTCCATTTCTTCCTCATAATCTCAATTTCTCACAGAGACTCTTT